CTAGCTACCTAGCTAGCTACCTCCATTTCAGAAGGTAAGATGTTTTGGTTTTATCTCAAGTCGGACTTCTATAAGTTTAATCAAAGAAAATGTAATAACATCTATGATGTCAAATGAATTTTATTAAGAGATTGTTCACTTTGTTTCATTTTTAATCTTACCAAGTTTTCGTATTGCTAAATTTTAGAAGGGCAACAAACTAAACACATTCTTGCCATTGCTACTATACCAAATTTTGAAAAAAAACGGAAGCTTCCACTCAAAAAAAAAACTTTACCAAAATTTAGTCACACTAAAACATCCAAAATTTGATAATGACAAATATTGGTAGGGTTGAAAATGGTAACAAAGTGAACTAAATCCACCATTGAATATATTAATACTCCTATATTTGCTTGGTGTTAAAAATATTGCTATGTTTGTTTTTTTAAAAAAAAATTGATCAATCTTATAGAAGGTTAATTTATAGCAAAATATAGCCATCGTCTTACATTCTTAAATGGAGGGAGCTAGGTGTTTTGATTTAAAGAAAAAGATTATTCTCGAAAGCAATTAATATTCCTTTTAGGTATTCAACTAGGGAATGGAGCAATTAATTTCTTGCACAACATATGTATTACTATTAGAGTACACGACGCTGATGTAATGGATCAACACTAGCGTCTTAATTATATGGGGAAAAATACGTAAATTAAACCATGGAAGGATAATTAAACCATGGATGACGCCTACGGTACCGCTCAGGCATGGCAACAGAAATACAGAACAAACAATATTTAATATGCAGCTTATAGCTATCACACAAGTCGAGCAAGCACGCACGCATGGCACGATATGGATCGAGACGCCGTCACGTGGGTCACCATGGGGCATGCATGCAATGCATGATCAGTTTGTGACGAAGACTGACGGTCACTACTACAAAAGTGATTTTTCTATACGAGACCCCATGATTTTTGCAAACGGACCATAACTAGTGGCGCCTGCAAAAATCACGCGGCATTTTCGCAAACGGCTCCTTAAGAAGCCCGTATAGAAAAATCGATTTTCCCATACGGGTCTCTTAAGAGGTCCGCATGCAAAAATAATGTTATTTTTGCATGCGGCTCACTTAAGCGCCCGCATGAAAAAATCGATTTTTCCATGCGGCTCACTTAAGCGCCCGCATGCGAAAATAAAATTTGAAAAATTTGAAAATTTGAAACTAGTGTATCTCACTCATACGAACTCCAAATTGGATGATTCTTTTTCCTAAATGTTTCTAAAATCATGCTCTATCATGTTATTGTGTTGTTACTGTTATTATTTAGGCCATTTTTTCTTGTAACTTTGTTTTATCAATTTAAAATTTAAATTTCAAATCTTCAAATAATATTATGAAGCAATAAACGATTTCAGCTGAAAAAGTCAACAACAACAAAGTTGTATAACTCATCGATATCTATAATTTCTATTTTGGTCATTTCTTCATTTGACAAAGTGATACTAACATTTTCACAAAATTTACATCTCTCTCTTATAGTTATAAAACTATATAATAGATATGTACATTTTGTGAATAATCTTACAAATCACTTTGTCGGATGAATAAATGACCAAAATAAAAGTTATAGATATTAATGAGTTACACCAATTTGTTATTGACGACTTTTTCAGTTGAAATCATTTAGTATCTGAAAATGTTGTTTGAAGTTGTTATAATTTGAAATTCAAATTCAGACTGTTCAAACAAAGTCATATAGAAAAATGACCAATACAAAAGTTGTAGATCTTGATAAGTTATACAACTTTGTTTTTGATAACTTTTCCATTTGAAATCATTTACTACCTAAAAAACTATTTGAATTTCTTATATTTTAAAATTTAAATTTTATATAGTTCAATCAAACTCGGATAGAGAAATGACCAAAAGAAAATTGGTAGATCTCAACGACTTCTACAACTTTATTTTTGGCAACTTTTTCATATGAGTTTATTTAAGACCATAAAATTTTATTCGAAGTTCTCACATTTTTAATTAATTTTTTAATGCTTATTTTTACATGCGGACCACTTAAGGAGCCGCATGCAAAAATTGGTCCACATGCAAAAATATCAACAGTTTTTTCAGTTTTTTCCCTCCTCACCACTTCAAAAATTTTCATCTCCCCTCCTCTCCTCTCTCTCTGTCTCCTCTCTCTGATATCCTCACCCCTCTCTTTTTCTTTCTCTTCCTCTCACTCTCTTTCTCTTCCTCTCTCTCTCTTTCTCTCCTTTGCGCGTGGCCAACGAGGGGGCGCCGAGCAGCGGGCGGTAGGCGGCGTCGAGCAGCGGGCGGTGGGCGGCAGCGGCTCGGCGGCCGACAACGACGACGGCCGCGGTGGGAGCGGCGACGGCGGGCGGCGGGAGCGGCTACGGCGGCGGCGGCGGCTCGGCGGCCGACAACGATGACGGCCGCGGCGGGGGCGACGGATCCGATGCTGCCGCCGACGGATCCGGCACCGGTGACGACGATGGGTGGCGGGGGCGATGGATCCGCCGCCGGCGACGACGCTGGGCGGCGGGGGCGACGGATCCGCCGCCGCCGACGACGGCCGCGGTGGGAGCAGCGACGGCGGGCGGCGGGAGCGGCTACGGCGGCGGCGGGCTCGCAGCGGGGTCGCGGCGGCGGCTTGGCAACCTCGGCTCGGTGGCCGACAACGACGACGGCCGCGGCGGGGGCGACGGATCCGATGCCGCCGCCGACGGATCCGGCACCGGTGATGACGATGGGTGGCGGGGGCGATGGATCCGCCGCCGGCGACGACGCTGGGCGACAGGGGCGACGGATCCACCGCCGACGACGACGCCGAGCGGTGGGGGTGACGGATCCGGTGCCGCCGCCGACGGATCCGGCGCCGGCGACGGCGGGGGGTGGCGGGAGCGATGGATCCGCTGCCGGCGACGGCGTGCGGCGTGGATACGGCGCTCCGGTGGCGGGCTAGGGTTTGGTTTGGGGTTTTTTCGATTTTATTTTTTTTGTTTGCTTAATTTATTTTCGCATGCGGCCGGTATAAGCAACTGCATGCGAAAATAGGATTTTCGCATGCGGTTGCGCCGGCCGCATGCAAAAAGGGTGATTTTTACAGACGATTTCGTCCATGCGGTTGGCACAACCGCATGGAAAGTTGGTTCTCAGCTGTATGGAAAAACCATATCTGTAGTAGTGGGTGTCAGACGAGTTAGCGTGACAACGTACGTACGGCTGATCCATACACATATAGGCAGCCTGTGAGCCTGGTATATATGAGTTTAAATATCCATTATTCCTTACCTAGCTTATAATCCGATCTTTAATCAGCAATACTGCAATATAGCTAGTATTCCCTCCGTTTCAGGATATAAGACGGTCAAAATCAAATTGTTTTAAGTTTAACCAAGTTTGTAGACAAATATAATAATATTTATAATACTAAATTAGTTTCATATCAAATCAATAATTGAATATTTTTTAATAAATTTGTCTTGGGTTGAAAATATTTTTATTTTTCTCTACCAACTTAGTCAAACTTAAAGCAGTTTGACTTTAACCAAAATCAAAACGTTTTATACCTGAAACGGAGATAGTACGGTATAACTTCAATTCGATCCTATACCATACACGTCCGTGTGTGTCTCTAATTAATTTCTTTATGCGAAATGCTTTCAAATTAATTTCGACGTACATTTGGCGCATGCAGCGCGTGACGTAGGTGCAAATCGTACTCAGGTAGTCAGGTATAGGTACGTGGTGTATCGATCTGACCCATCAGGGGGGCGTCGGTCACATGCGTACATACGTACATGCGCCATTGTTCGTATATGCAGGCTCTGTGTGTACAAAACGGTGTCTAGGATTCTCGGGGGCGGTAAACTAGCTCCCAAGGCTCACGTGACGGCGGCGAGGGCGCGATCGATATGAATATGATCGAGCGGTCGATCGGGAGAGAGCCGAGCGCTTTGGAAAGTACACTCACATGCCATTGGCAGAATGTACCCCCTGCAGGCTGCAGCCATACTACTGGTAGCTAGCTCCCCTGAGCATACCGATCAGATATGGACTTTCATCTCTAGAGAAAATATCATCTAAATAGTTATCAAAATATTTGATATTCCCTCCGTCCTATTTTAAATGCAATCATAAGTTTTTCGTACCCAACTTTAATTGTTCGTCTTATTTGAATTATTTTTATAATTAGTATTTTTATTGCTATAAGATGATAAAATCTGATTAGTACTTTATGCGTGACTTATGTTCTCGAATTTTTTTAAAACATTTTTAAATAAGATGAACGGTCAAAATTTGGCACAGAAAATCATGGCAGCACTTACAATGGGACGGAGGGAGTAATAAAGAGTAATACATAGTGTGAAATACCACAAACCGCTATACCAAATTCGATTTCTACAAATTGCAACAGAAAAATAAATTAAACTGAAAAAAGTAATCGTACATTTATAATTATATTTGTTATTTTTGTTACAACTTGTATAAGTTGAATTTTAACTTGCATGTTTATAGAGTAATATATTTTATATTAATTTATCTTGCTAATTTTTTAATAATTTAGACTAGTAATATACCCGTGCTAAACGCTACGGTACAATATCATTGTCTTTAATAACTTTTAAATTTCATTTTAGAAATTTTCTATGATCTATGCATCGTATCGATTCACCTTTCTATGTTTTCCCCTCCATGTCCATTCACCTTTCAATTTTTTTTTCTTCCTAATATTTTTCTCTCTATCTGTTCAGCTTCCATTTTTTCCCCGGTATATTTAGGTTGTGTTCCCTAAAAGAAACCACTCCCTCCACTCGTAAAATGGAACGATGAATTAACACGTGATTAATTAAGTATTAGCTAAAAATACTTTTAAAAGGATTAATATGGTTTTTTTAAAGCAACTTCTGTATATAATTGTTTTTATGAAAAATAACACGCTTAATGATTAGGGAAGCATGCGTACGGGAAACGAGGCAGTGGAGGTTGGAAACCTCAATAAACAAACGCAGCCTTATTGATATTTGACCTCAAATAAAATTTATAAATAAAACACAATACAGTACTACCTCAGAAAGAAAATAATAACATCGATTTTCATTATTCATACGTGCCATCATCTCTCACAAGTACAATACATAGATCAGATCAGAAAACAGGTACTGCATAGATCTCAGCACCTTCAGTTTGTTCTCAGCACATCATCCAGCATGTTTTACTGAAGGCCAACATTTTTTAAAAGCACTGAAAAGCATAATCATGTATTAATCCCTTGAGACTTCTCTTCATACCATCAAGTTTTGGCAATAAAGTTGTGTAGATTAACCGAGGAGATAAAGTAATTAACCATGCATTTATGCATAAGTGTGATTTAGCTTGCACAGAAACATGTATCTTCCATGCCACAGTACCTATCTTTAGAGGTAGGAATGAAATGAAAAATTGAACACCAGTTAGCCCCTAATGTAAATCAGTAAGATATAGTCCAAACGTAGACACCAAACGCGGCGAGTTACGGAATATAGAACCTGCAATACAAGAAAAGATGATATCAAAATACAGCTATATTTCTTTTTCTTGAAAAATAATGTTCTGTAAAGGTCAAAGCAATCCAACACAATCATGGTACCCCCTATAGTTACAGGCCCTTCCCGTCAATATCATATATATGCAAGCCATCGAGATGACATTGCAAAAAGTTATTGGAAATGCCATACATAATAAGATGTTGGAGGAGAAAAGCTCATATATGAAACCAAACAAGGACAGGCCGATGACCATATAAAAAACAATACATTTCGAGCCGCATCTTATATTTTTATACAAAGAAAAGAGGAAGGAAGATTTAAAAAAATAAGGGCCAAAAAATAACCCCACATATACGGTGCTTGAAGCACCATTCAAGATAAAAATTGGATCTATCACTATGCTGGAGGTAAATATATAATAAACATGGTGTGCATAAGAGTAGCAGTCCCGTATAAGAGTAGTTGAAAATCATATGGCCGCTGTATCTCTTCTCACGCACAAAAAGGATCCAAAATATCTTGTTAATAAAAAACACCACTCATGCAAGATACAAGGTTGCAATAAAAAACCTAAACTCAATTTATTCATCCATGGTAGTGCAGACATATTATGATTATAGAGCAATATATCAGAATTATCTGTTGTTTCGCATGAGTATATTTCAGGAAAGTAAGGCAAAAACAGACAAACAACAGGCACACTACTTACTCCGTTGATATAAGAAATTTCAGCATCGTTATCACTATAATATGAAATTTTAGTTATCCTGAGCAGGAATATTTCTGTTATCATCTAATTAAATTTTGCATCCAAAATGGTTGAACTGTAATGCCATTATTTTGACTCACAAGCAATGAGAAGATATTTTCAGACAGCTAGGTCAAAGTTCTCATTCCACCAAAAAATACAGAAGAAAATCCACCAACTTTCTTTAAATAGTTGTGAAATAAACAAAAACAATCATGTACTGGTACGACATGTTTCCCTTTTACAGAGTTCCAGGAAGTGCATCGAACTATCTAAGTACACCAGCAAGACAATGCGGCTATTTTGATCATTTTGCCTGAAGAAATGAAGTTTTATACTCCACTAAACAAATCTAAAACTCATGAATTAGAACCTGATGGGCTGCAGACGAGATCGAGCTGCAAACTTCTAGAGCCCCTGCTGGAATTAAACTGCTCTCAAGAAAGAAAAGAAAAGACAAACCTTTGTTCCCCTTCTGTAGTTCTCAACAACAATGTTGATAATCAATCACCAGATAAACAAAAATAATGGAGTACAGTGTAACAGTGAAAATACTGTAAATATATACATGTTGAATTATCTGATCCCATACTTCCCCTTTTGACATACATGTGGCCAATGTAAAATAATAATCAGCAAGAATAGATTCATTCTTATTTTCAACTCTCTCTTTCAGTCACTTTCGAACAAATTCTCTGTGATTTCTGAGGGAAGGAATGTTTCCTACTTGACATTTTCAGAAAAACGTATTGAAGTACAACATACTGAAACATAAATTGTCTAGAACAGCATCATTTAGTACTTGTAGTTATAAACTGAAACATGTAACTGGTAAACATAAATTCGCTGCGAGGGAGACTTTCCTGGATGGTCGTCAGTGACAGGCGGAGGTCGAGGACGGAGATGCAGTGTGGTCGTGGATGACAACATGGGCAGCGCAGGTGAAATAGACGTTCTACGGTATCAACGGCGCCGCAAGATCGGCGAGGTGGAAATTGATGTCCCTGCCTTATCCAATTTAGCTTGTTGTCCCAGACAACTAAGCATTCTGTATACCAAGCCAAAAAAAAAAAAGATAGTAGCATGCAGATTAGTTCGTAGCCTTTTAAATTCATTCATGCACAGAAAGCATCAAATACCCCTCACAATCTAATTTCAGCCGACAATATATCTGATAATGCAACTACAATTTGAAAATTTCTACCTTGTGCACAGATAGAGTACAAAACCACACATTGAGGACAAAATTGTTTGATGAACTGAATGTAAGACTGTTTATACTGCATTTAATCGAGCACCTCCCGGACATGGAAATTTGAAACCACACATTCAGTGAAACACAGAGAAAGAAAATGATTGAATGCTGCAACGATGAATCCTAGGCACGCAGCGGCGGACCCCGTCGCGCTGTAAATGAAAGATCGGTGGCGGGGTGACTGATTGGGTGAGAGGAGACTTACATATTAGGGATGGGGGAGAGAGAGAGAAGGGAGAGGGGGATGGGGGACGAGGGGCTCTGTACCTTCCAACGACAAAGGGACCGCGTGAGTGCGATTCGGAGAGACGGCGGGTGGTGCTTGAGGCGGCCGCGCGTTGCCGGAGGAGATCAGCAAGGCGGAGGGACGGCGGCGCGACTGCACGCCTCGGCCGGAGAAGAAGGTGCGCACGGCTCACTGGCGGCGGTGGGTTGAGGGATCGGGTGGCGGCGGTGGGCTGAGGGATCGGGAGGAATCGGCAGCGACGGCTTATCGCGAGCGGCGGCGGCGGTGAGGTGCGGTCCTGGGAGGGCGAGAGGGGGAGGGATGCGCGAGATCGTGGGCGGAGGCGCCGCCGTCGGAGAAAATTTCGGGCGGACCGCGGACGGAGAGAGGACGCGGGTCTGGGAGCGCGAGAGAGAGGTGGGTCGGGGGTGGATTTGGCAACCGTACGTGAGGAGGGCGGTGGAGTCCATCAGATCCGTTGGTTCAAGCGCGGATGATACAAGTCGTTGGATTTGATGAATGAAGTATGAAGAATGTAGAACTGTGTTGGTGAATTATAGGGTAGAAGATGACATACACGAAACGAGGTATATCCCTTCAAGGAATGAAACACTTTCCCAATAGTATGCAACAAAAGAGTCAATCAAACCGCAGCGTAGAGTAACGTAATGCAATAGTATGCGTGTGCCCGCATCTGCTCCGTAGCGAGCCGGCCTATCGATCGCGCCATCGCCCGCCTCAGAATCATTTCCCATGTGATTGATATACAATTTAACTAGGGCTGTAAAAAAAAGGTTTGGGGGCTCAGCTCATAAGCTGCTCGATCTGACTCACTCTATGCTTGATACGAGCTCAGCTCGAGCTCCAGATGAGCTGAGCTCGAGCCTATATATATCAAAACTTGCTAGCTTTGTCGAGCCGAGCTCTTGACCTCCTGTCAAGCCTAACATGTATATTTTATTTATTATTTATCAAATCATATTTACATGTTCTTTAGTGACATATTTTGAATAATAATTTATTACATGCTATGTTTTCAATGAATATGAAATTAGCATCACATGAAAGTACTTCAAAACATAAATCTAGTGATATAACGTGCATAATACCTTTTTTAGATAATACACATGCACAATATTTAGCATAGATATTAATATGATCACTAGTAAAAATTATCGAGTTCGATTTAAGAAAATGAGGCGTCTATAATTTAGGAACGAGAGAGTACCATTTATATGTATCCATGCAATGAAATAGTTTATATTGGTATCATGTATTTATCTTTTTGTACTTATTCATTAATATGATTGAATTAAATGAGTTATTTTTTTTATTGAGAATCATCCTCAAAATATAAGTGCACCACTTATTATGAGCTAATTAGGCTTGATGATATTCAAGCTTGAACTGAGTCTGCTTGGAAGCTCGGATTTTTCACGGACTCTCGATTCGTTGATAATCCTACAGATAACGAGAGGATGTTAATTTCAAGAGTTTAGAATATATATCGTCGCGTCCCCGGCCCGCGCGACGATCGGCGCCCGCGCCTGCATGGCTGCGTTCAACGCGCGCGCGTCCCGACCCGATCACATGCATGCAAGCTCCGACGCGCGCGAGGGGCCTCGCGTCGCCGGCCGGAGGAGGCGCTGGCGCGATGCAATGCTGCCGTAGTCGTAGCGGTGTGTGCGGCGCTGCTGCGCTCGGGGGGAGAGGGAGGGGGGGGGGGGGGGGTTGATCCATTTTGGCTCTGGCTGCTGATGAGTGATGATGCATGCGCCTGCTGCTGCGCCGTACTAGCGGCGAGCGATTTGGCGTCTTCGTCGTAGGGATGATGATGATGTGTGGACTGGTATAGTACACTGCTGAGGGCTAGTACTGCCATGCAAGTTAGGTACTCCGTCGTCTAGCACTCTAGCACAGGTGTATAATCCCTCCGTAAAAAAAATAAATATATAATTAAATATAACATATTTTAGTACGACGAATTTGTATAAATATATATCTAGATTCATAATACTAGTATGTGTCATATCTAGTACTAGATTGATTTTTTATGGGACGAAAGAGAGTATATACATGAAGCTAATTAATTTCTCCGTTAGTTTAACTACCTCTTCAAAAATATTTAACATTAAGATGCACTTGATAGTGTTGTGGCAAGGCGTGTGTCATTTCAACCCGAGGTTCCGTGTTTAATCCCTAAAACACTCACAATTTCTCTCTCTCCAATTTTTGTTTCTTTTAAAAAAAATTTAACATCTACTAGTATTAGAATAAGTCGATAGCTTATTTTAAGCATAGTAAAAACGCAGGCCTTCATATAAACAAGTACTCCCTCTGTCCCATAATATAAGGGATTTTGGTGAATGTGACATATTCTAGTACAATGAATCTGGTCAGACAGTCTATCCAGATTCATTGTACTCCATCCGTCCTATAATATAAGAGATTTTGGGTGGATGTGACATATCCTAGTAAGCGATATGGCACAAAGCCCACCTATATCAAAATTACTTGCATGATAATAGAGAGAAACCACTAATAAAAACCGTTGTACATGTCCTTATAGTCAGAATGTTAAATATTTGATTAGATCTTATCCTAGTAATCAAATATTTTTTACTGGAAGTTTAAAAAACATTACATGGAAGATATGTAGCCACACGCACGTAAAATTAATTTCAAATGTTATTTATGGAGTTCAAATATTATAAGATAATATTGTGATCAAAGATGTTCACTCGTAACCAACTGAAAATCGTAAAGCTTTTGTTGCGATATGGCACAAAGCCCACCATTCGCAATTTCGGTCCATTAATATTTTGGGAGGATCAGAGCAGCTCATCAGGCCCACGCCCACCACACCGGCTCATCTGCGTGTCTTTCCTTCTCTCCTTTTCCTATGACGTGAGGCGTTCTTTTCTTCGTGTCGCATTTCGGGCTCCTTGTGCCAAGATAAAAGGAAAAGTTCAATGGGCTTTCAAATTTCATTTCAAACCTTACGAATGTGGCCGAAAAGAAAAAAGAACTAACGAAACGTACGTGAGGGCTTGCTTTTCTTCGTGTTGCATTTCAGGCTCGTTGCGAAGATAAAAGGAAAAGTGGCAACGATTTCAATGGGCTTTCAAATTTCATCTCAAACCTTACGAAATGTGGCCGAAAAGAAAAAATAACTAACAAAATGTGACGAAAAAAAGAAGTGCAAAATTGATGCGCATCCGGGGAATCGAACCCCGGTCAGTACCGTGGGAGGGTACTATGATACCACTACACCAGATGCGCTTGACGCTTGAAATTAAACGATTATTTATATATTCTTTACAATACTCACTTCAAATGACATCAACTAAAGGCACACTTCATTGAATTTTATATATTCTTCTGGGGAAACAAGCTTGATTTCATATCGGTTTAATTTCTGACTGTTGCATAGCACTGTCGACGAATTTACACATCCAAATTCCCCTAATTCCCTCTTTAAAAATAATTTGGGAAATCAACAAGCTCGCACTGATTGCCCTCTGCACAGGCCGGCGTGTTGTGTGGACATCCCCGTCAACAGTCACCCTCCTAGCTGCTAAATGAATTGCTTCCAATAATGATTTCTTTCATCATCCTGGCCTACCTAATCAGCAATCAATCCGGATCCCATCTGATGTGCTCCATCGAGGCATCGACTCACCGCGCGCAGAAAGCGAAGCGCATGACACCATCGACCTATCCCCTGTCACTCTTTCAGTACTGACGATCTCTCATCCGATTCGCCAAGCACCAACCAAGCAGTTCGGCCAGCCGAGAATGCAAATTTAACCAACACAACATTAAGCATTTGCACATCATCATCACGCACGCAGTTTATTATACTCGTATATATATATATATATATATATTATAAGTGCTCCTTTGGAACATTGAGAAGTGGAGAGAATCTATGAGGCTGAAATCCTATGAAAAATAATCCTAATCAGTTCTTTGCAACAAATGATTGTGTGGCTTCCACAAAATTCTTTAGAACTTATATGGAATGACCCGTTTCGATATAATTTTGGAGGAAAACTAGTAAGGGCGTGTTCTTTCTGTTTGATTTTGGCTTATTATTTGCACGTAAAACGAGATACATTATTAGCATATAATTAAATTGTGTACTATATATTTAAAACTTAAAAAATGGATTTATTTAATTTTGAAAGCACCTTTATATAACATATCGTTAGCAATTTGAAAAACGTACTAACGAAAAACGTGGAGTAGCTAAGCTCAATTAGCTCTTTAGAGTATGCCCTAACGGCCTGTTTGGTTGGTGGGAGTTTTTTTTTGAGGGATTGGAAGTTTAGAGGGATGAGGCTATTAGGTGTTTTGTTTAGTTGGGAGATATGGGAATTTTGGTGGGATGAGGATGGGGAATTGAGGAAGGAACTCCCTCCTTTTCAATACCTAGGTAGGGGCAGGTAATTGGGAGGGAATTACTCCTTTACTTTGTCTAATTAAATCTCAGCCATCCGATTTTATTAATGGCCTAATCTCCAACTAAACTCCCTATCAATTTCCATCACCTCTACCAAACAAGATATTAGGATTAAAATCAAATTCCCATCTTAATCTCATCATCAATTCCTTTGTGTAAACTCCCAATCTCCTTCCCTCGAGTTACCGAACAAGCCGTAAGATGCCTAGCCTCATGTTTTTTTTTTGCCACAACATTCCTTACGAATTCGGGTGGATCAAATAATTATTGTAATATCCCCGTACAAAAAATAATTCCTGTAATATACTCTCTCCGTCCTAGAGTATGAGGGATTTTGCTTATTGTTCATATTTATATTCACCTAAAATCTCTTATATTTTGGGACGAAAGTAATTAAGTTCCAACGACATGATATATCGTTCTTTTTAAAGTCATGAATTTCAAATGAGCCTTTATTTTTCTTTGTCAATCGGAGGAGACGATCGATGCTACATTGTCATATGCGCAGTTGCACAAACATCAATTCTTTTATACCTACCTGTCGCTAATCGCGTCTCGATCGCTTCGGCTAATTAAAATTAACTATGGTGTGATGGTGCTTATTGCCATGGATGGCACAAGACAATCATTGTATGTCAGCTTAGTGTTAGCTCTACTCTAGTGTTCTGAACTCTGAAGAAAGGGAGATGAGGAGACAAGGAAGCTTTTGGCTGATCTGATCATGATGCTCTGCTGCCGTTCCTTGCCGGAAAGCCACACCGCTTTATTAGGTGTTGGGTCTTGCTTAAGGCAGTATAAGACATCACTCTTAATCTAGTAGTGCTTAATTAAACTATACATGGGGATGCTATCGATGTATTGCGTCCACATTCAATGGATCAATCCACTTAATTTGGCTGTGTACAATAACTATATATGGCGTAATTTATCTTCAGTAAAGAAACCAACTACTAGCATGGCTGCATACTTACTTTAAAAACAAACATATACTTCTTCCATAGTTCCTACCACTTTGAAACAGAGCATATGTGCACAAGCACTGAAGCATGCAGTTCCCACTTTAAATTATCACTAAGTAGGTGACTTTCTAATCGATAACTTTTAGGAAGTGCTTACTGATAAGTTACATGGCACATAATTTATTTTCATGTTAAGATTCAGTGATGCTCACTCATATATATACGATGATGCAAATGGCAGACGAGTTAGCTAGATAAGGGTTGGTGTCTTAGTGATGTCCGAGCAAGCATCAGGTTGGTTTGTTTCCTTATCACACCTCATCTGGTATCAAAAGCTTTTTTTTAAAAAAAGATCTAATCAACAACTCTGCATTCTGCAATAAGATGTGTGGGCTAACCGGCTAAGTGTGGCTCCATTTGGATCCAACTAGATGTTACGGGTGCACAAACTGCTGCTACTGAACCAATAATGCTCTACTCATGAGCCAATGGCATGCAATCTGTCGTCATAATTCATAACAAGAGTTGGTACACTAATATAATATACAAACAAGAGTTGGTACACTCATGTAATATATAAAAAGCGATGTATCCAGTGAGGGTGCTGGGGGACTCAAGTTTTTCCTAACCCACTGGATCACAATTGAGAGAATGGGAGATGGGAGGAGGAAGAAGAGGAGGAGGAGGAAGAAGAGGAGGAGCCCCTCTCTGTTCATTTCATGGATCCGTCCCTGCATACGAAATATTAGAGATAAAGAGAATTACAGCGAAACATTACTTTTTATAGGTGTGTTCGATACTGCTTGCTGCTGCGACAGCTGAAAAACGGCTGCAAGCCGCAACAGCTAAACACGACCACAGCCGCAGCGCTGCAGCAGCTAGTGTTTCCGATCAGCCCCTATAAAGTTTAAGTGTATGTTCAATGCAAACCATCATAGCAACCAAGAAAATAAAATAGGGTTGAAAACCTACTTGCGAACTTAGACCGTGTATCCTATGTATTCACTATAGTGGGAGATACAACACCTATATGCTCGAGCATGCCATAGCAACAAAAATATTATAAAATAAGGTGTTGTAATTGTGCTCTCTTTTCTTTTCTTTTATTTTTTTTTACCCTTTTCTATTCGAGATTAGGAAGATGTAAGGAACTTCTCATAAGGAGCTACCACGGAGGAACAAGGGGTTGCAAGTTTGTTCGATAGCATGGAAGAACCATATATACACAAAGCACATAAACACACCATGCATCACACATGTACATACAGATGACTCCACTTACATACATGTAATTTGTGAGCAACATAATTTGAACTCACCCTTATGGTTCAGTCCTCACCCCCTCCATAGGCACACATGTTTATACCAGGGGTCAGCGAGTGATTTTTTTTAAAAAAGACTTGAAATTTGCTCCCGTGGAAAATCGAAACTAGGACCTGGAGGTGCTACTTGAGCACTATAACCACTAGGCTACAGGCAGGGCCTACATATCTCTCTATTTTTTGTGTGCATTTTTATTCAATCTGTTGTATAATGTGTGTTTTATAAGTTGAATGTGTATATTTGGTCTTCACTTGTCTAGATTCAATCTTGCGTATAAATTAATTTATAGAACATCAATATCAATATCATTGTCACATAACAAATTCATTACATCTGATTAGACCAAGACATTTTCCTATGATATGTTATCATTTTTCATTACATCTCACAGAACAGTTTCATTATATCAATATCATATTGTTTGTTCCCTAATCACCATCATATATACCATATTGGCTTGATTGATATCCATCAAGTTGTTTAAGGAGTTGTTACTTGCCTTTGAGATTGTTTCATTACTAGACAACAGAGCGCGTCCTCGTCCTTGTCCTTAACAAGAGTGCATGTACACAACTACACGCTAAGAAGTACTACCTCCGTCCCAAAATAAATACAGTTATAAAAATTCGTGTTCAACGTTTGACTGTCCGTCTTATTTGAAAATTTTATAATTTTTTTTAAAAAATTAGTCACACATAAAGTACTATTCATATTTTATCATCTAATAGCAATAAAAATAGTAATCATATTTTTTTTTCAAATAAAACGAACGGTTAAACGTTGGAGATGAATAGTACAAAACTATATTTATTTTGTGACGGAGGAAGTAAGAACAAAAGGACTCAACCAATATACAAGTCTACTCTCATGAGCTGTCTAGTTAACTTGTTTTAAATAATCAAATAATACATCCAAGTGAAAAGATCTATTATGTGCAAATATAGAAAAAAATATCCCTTCTTATATTAGAGTACGTACAAGTTGTTACTGTTGAATACAAGTCTTTTGTGGACATAGGGGTGGGCATTCAGTCTGACCAAAAAATTTGGTATCAGTCTTCGGTTCGGTCTTTGAAAAGTGAAGACCGAATTTCAACGCAAAAATGCTAGGACCGACAAATTCGGTCTCGGTCCTGATCGGAATTCAACAACATTTTCATATATGAAAAAAATAATAGAAATTTTCAACACAAAAATCAAAAAAAAATTCATAAGCACTACGAGGTATATGCTTTTTTTAAGTGTTTAATTATAAAGGACCGTAAAAGTATAACCTTACGACGCTTTTTGGGTAATTGGTCTGGCTAGACCCTTAAGTGTTGTACTATCTCATCAATGAAATATCGATATGGGACAACTGAACAAGCTAACAATACTTATACACTGTTCACAACACTTATCAAAACAGTCCGAGTTATCAACCAAACCTCACGGTTGCATCACCCAGGATGTGTACATCTGGGTTTGGATATGAGGGAAAATATGTAGTGTAAAACATATATATGTATATAAAGTGAAAACTTAGAAACTACCGTTTGATCAAAAATGGACGTCCGAAATTCGTCCGCGTCACCATAAGTAAAAATTTTACTCCCAGTTCACTCATGAGTAAAAATTTTACTGAAGTGACGTGAACGAATCTCAGATTTTTAATTTTCGATCCAATGGTAATTTTCAGGTTTCTATTTCCACCACATATTTTAGTTTTAATCCATCTTTTTTTTTTAAAAAAAAAGGCACTCACCCATTTACTTGCCAATGTGTGGGGGCCGGGTTAGGTATATTGGGCTAGTCTGGTGTACCTTTTCTTTCCATTTACCCCTTTACTTGCCATAGCACGTCTAGGTTCAATGAACCTGTGATGGTCTCACCCGGTTCACAGGTTAAACTTAGGCCCTCAACCCCAAACACTAACTAATCGCAAAGGTAACCCATGAAAGGAAGCAGGTCCAGATTCATGGGAGAGCAGCGCTGTGTGTGCTGCTGCCTGCCTAATTATGATTTATTCCCACACACCCTGTACGTAGATGATGCAAAAATTTACGGGATTTGAGCGGGATATGATACACTCGTCGCAACGTTCGAATTCTCCGTTGATAGTGTCAATCACCGGCCGGCGAAATCTCTTTGCCGGTTGCATGCACCCCTCGCCTTACATATAAACCCACACACCTGCGTCCCTGATCACACCCACACACCCACACACCTGAGTACCTGACCTGTTAATTTCTCCTCTTCCTCCGGCGTCGTCGTCGAGGAGATCGTTCGATCGACTGATCAGCGATTAGGCGTGAGATAGAGGAGGAGGAACGGATTGTGGTTTTCTTGAATTGTTAGGTTGGGTTGTGGTTATGATGATGCAGGGGGGTAGGATTGCGAGGAGAGGGTTGTCGAGGCTCGCAGCGGCGGTGGAGACGGCCGCCGTCGCGCCGCCGAGAATGGCGGACTTCAACCACGTCCCGCTCCCCTACGACGGCCCGTCCGCCGCCGAGATCGCACGGAAGCGCGCCGAGTTCCTCAGCCCGTCCCTCTTCCACTTTTATTCCAAACCAGTATGTGCATTTCTAATTTGTTGCTGAAATTAATTTTTCGTGCTCTTTTGAAATTTCCCTGAATTTTGGTATAGTATTCTTGGCAATCAAACTATTCCGTAATTTGTGGGATTCAGTTACGATGGGGCTCGCTGCAGTGTGTTCATTAACGATAAATCGCCGTGGTTTTTTTTGTTTTTGTTTCGTGCAGCTGAACATCGTGGAGGGTAAGATGCAGTACCTGTTCGACGAGCGCGGGCGGCGCTACCTGGACGCGTTCGCCGGCATCGCCACCGTGTGCTGCGGCCACTGCCACCCGGACGTCGTCGGCGCGATCGCCGCGCAGGCCGGCCGCCTGCAGCACTCCACCGTGCTCTACCTCAACCACGCCATCGCCGACTTCGCCGAGGCGCTCGCCTCCAAGATGCCCGGCGACCTCAAGGTATACTGTCGCGGCCGGCATTTGCCAGTTGCCGATTCTTGTGACGCTTGCTCTGACCGGATCGATGGCGCGCGCGCGCGCGAGCGTTGCGTGTAGGTTGTGTTCTTCACCAACTCCGGCACGGAGGCGAACGAGCTCGCCATCATGATGGCGCGGCTGTACACCGGCTCCCACGACATCATATCGCTCCGGAACTCCTACCACGGCAACGCCGCTGGCACCATGGGCGCCACCGCGCAGAAGAACTGGAAGTTCAGCGTCGTCCAGGTCAGTACATACAAAATGCCATCACCGATCGATGAAAACACTCTCGATTCTGATCACCTGTTCGTCCGTGTGCTTGAAGAGCGGCGTGCACCACGCCGTGAACCCGGACCCGTACAGGGGCGCGTTCGGCTCCGACGCCGAAAAGTACGCGCGCGACGTGCAGGAGATCATCGAGTTCGGCACCACCGGGCAGGTCGCCGGCTTCATATCGGAGGCGATACAGGGCGTCGGTGGGATCGTGGAGCTGTCGCCGGGGTACCTGCCGCTGGCGTACGAGGCGGTCCGGAGCGCCGGCGGGCTGTGCATCGCCGACGAGGTCCAGGCCGGCTTCGCGCGCGTCGGCAGCCACTTCTGGGGGTTCGAGACCCACGGCGTCGTCCCCGACATAGTCACCATGGCCAAGGTATAATCCGTTCCGCTTCGCTCGCCACCATGCATGATGACTCGATCGAACATCAAGCCTGACGGTGCATGGCGTGCAGGGCATCGGCAACGGCATCCCGCTGGGCGCGGTGGTGACGACGCCGGAGATCGCGCAGGTGCTGACAAGGCGGTGCTACTTCAACACGTTCGGTGGCAACCCGCTGTGCACCGCCGGCGGGCTCGCCGTGCTCCGGGTGCTCGAGAAGGAGGGCCTCCAGGCGAACGCCCACGCCGTCGGCTCCTACCTCAAGGACCGCCTCCGCGCTCTCCAGGACAAGCACGAAAGTAAGTAGTTGCCGGCCGCCATGGCCACGACAGCATGGCTGCTTGTGGTTGATTCATTCTTGCCGTCTCCCATGGATGAATGCAGTTATCGGCGACGTGAGGGGGACGGGTTTCATGCTCGGCGTCGAGCTGGTGACGGACAGGCAGCTCAAGACGCCGGCGAAAGACGAGATTTGCCGCGCCATGGAGCACATGAAAGGTAAGCTTTTCATGGACACATTTTCTTGTGGTTTCTGATCGAGTTGTGGCTTGATGAGATTGATCGCCATGGATTTTGCACGCGTACATGCAGAGATGGGCGTCTTGGTCGGCAAAGGCGGCTTCTACGGGAACGTCTTCAGGATCACTCCCCCTCTGTGCTTCACCAAGGAGGATGCCGGTAGGCCGTTACACTCCATCAAGATCAAATATTTCGATCAAGTTCATATTCTATCACTGTCGTATACCAGGTACCAGCTCACCGGTTATACTAACACAATCATTGGTTTTGTTTTTTTTTTTTCTGTTTGGTGCAGATTTCTTCGTCGCCGTGATGGACTCTGCACTGTCCAAGCTCTGAAACCTGCTCTGCACGGATGCTAGAAGAGTAGAAGGCCATCAAAGATGTTTCACAATCTTCATCAGAGATGCATGGTTTCATGAACAGTTCAGGAAAATTGTTCACTCCTTGATGCTTCGATGCATTTCTTATTTGTCAGAAACTTGTAGAGAGAATCTTGGAAATCTCAATCAGTCTTGGTTGAGTCTTGTATATATAGATATAATAAATATACGTGTGGTATCCTATATTTAAGTATACCGATACCAATTAATTTACGGTTCAAAACTTGCACGCATTTTGTGTTTGTCAACTTGAAATGTTTCTTGGTAGGGCTCGGAGATTGATTTTTTTTCCCTTCGAGGAGATGTTCCATTGTTTATATCATTCAAAGGGTTATACAATTTTTTCAACAATATATATTAACACACGATATATATCACTTTACAAATATGTAAGATCAAATTCTACCTCTATAAGTTAATAAAAGGAAATCAATTTAGTCTAATTAGTAAAGTGATTTTTGGGTTAATTCAATCCATGCCATTATAAATTTTACTTTTTTAAAATATATCATTAATATTTGTTAAATTAGAATGAAGCCTATTGAAGTTGAAGATATATCCTGTACATCCCTTGGCTGCATTTTCTATTTTTCTTGGACCAAATAGCCCCTTGTCTTCTACCTCCATCCTCTGCTCTCCACTCTTCCTTCAACGGTGGAGCGCTGCTACGCTTCTGGTGGCAACACGGGACAACGGTGAAGGTCGAGCGGGGCAGTGTGGTTGGCAGCGACGCTTCTAGCGGCAATAGAGCTCAAGCAGGGTGAAACGACCGAAGTGAAAAGGATGACAGGAGAGAGATGATGGGATCAGGATCCAGTGCAGTTGCTAAGATAACTGCAACATAACTACATAAGCATCATTGCATCACATTAGCACCATTTCACTGTTGCAAAAAATATTATTTATATATCTTATGCAATGAATATGAAAGGTAGCTCGCTCGGACATCTTGTTTAATGTTGTTTGAATTTTTACTGCGAATGTTTATATGTGGATGATATTTTTAAATATTCTTTGACTCTATTTTAAATATGTTTTCGTTAATAACTGGTTTGGGTATATCACTTGAAACCGTATACATTGAATTTATGAGAAAAAATATGTCATAATAATAATAGAGTTTGTTCATATATATGTTTGTACTTCATGCGATTCTTTTTTGGCATATTTACCATATCTTATTTTTGGAGTTTCTAAATTTTAAGTGATATTTTTTTTCTTGTATGCTATAGATGACTTTCTAGATTTTTATGATATATTAATGAAAAAATATATTTTGTTAAAAATATAGCTAATAGGTATACTATATCTAAATAAATATAGACTTATATTACTTATACACCCTCAGTGGCATAAATCCAAGGAGTCAAATTTTGTCCAAAACAACACGGAATTTACATGTAATCCGGACAAAGTGATTTTTTTTAATATGATCCTATAATCTAAGATGGATGCACACAATTTATAATAAAAAGGGAATTTATATTTTTTATTATAATAAATTCATGATAAATTTAGTAATTTATCAAGGTTATGGATAAGGCATATTTCCTATTCTTTGGGTTACAGAGTATATGAATATGGTATACCCTCAAATATGCGGGAATGCTACCTTAGTCTTAAGGAATTTGGCCAATGGGAAAGAAAACTGACTATTCGGAAGGTGTTAGAGTCCTATTCGGAGGGGATTTGGGCCTTGTGATCTAGTGTGTGCAAGATTCTTCGAGTTCTACTTGGAAGCCAAGGCAGTTTGAGGTATAAATACAAGGCTCCCTAAGGGTATAGGATTATCGAATCATAGCATTGCCATCGGTCATAGCAGAAATAATCCGGAGAACTCGAAACCAACTCGCTGATTGATCTTGTCGGGTTGTTCTCAAGAAAGGTCTAATCGGTAACTCATCGGTTCTGTTATTCTCTACTGTAATCTCTATAGTTCTCTTTATGAGGGGTCTGAACCAATATAAATCTTGTCAATGTGGTTCTCTTCATAATCCCATAATCTTGTTTTTGTAGGTTTTGGTCTGAATTTGGGTGATCTGGTTAAAAAAATTTCTGATAGCACGTATCAACAGTCACTCAAGCGGTTCGTAGTAGTGATTTATGTAGTATTACTACATATGTAGTAGTGACAATTTTCAAGCAAGACAATGTCTGAGGAGGTAAATGACCATGATGCAAAATATTGCTGAAAAAATGCTAATTGGTTTAAGATGAGGTAAATGTTTCCAACTCTCAAGTCTCTTGTTCGTGCATCATTCGATTCCGACATCCCCCTTTCTATTTGATGTAGTTGTTGTAAGTTTTTCTTTAAAACTTTCAGATATAAATATAATACAATAGTAATATTATATTTTTATTGGCATGTCATGTAATTATGCTCTGCAAGGTTGTCAGTATCCCGATTCGTATCCTAGTATCTTACGATACTACGATCCTACCAAGCCGAAACGATACCGATCCCACCTAGTATCCTAATTTTCATAGTATATCGATCCTACTATTCATTACTACATGATCCTACGAAATCTTAGGTGGTATCCCGATTCTACGATCTCTACGATACTATAAAATATTATTTAAAATAGCATGGTTTGAAAATAATATAAATAAATATGCTCAAATTTATATAAAAATCAGTTAAATATATCAAAACCAACATGTTTCTTTTGATAAATGTCTTTATTTGCATGACATATATCATTACTACATTTTTTATATAGAATGACTATATATAATTAATATAAATATTAATTAAACTTAAAAAAAGAAAATCTCATGGTATCCCGATACTATGATACGATATTACTTTAAGCAAAATGACACTACCTAGTATCCCGATCCTGACAATCTTGATGCTCTGTAAACTTACTGTAAGTAAAGTGTAGTCACAATATAACTACAAAACACACTCGCAGCCCAAAAGTGGAATAACACCTGCGTGGGCCGTTTGATTTTTTAATTCTTCATCCGTGCACAAATCTTAAAGCAAATTGGATGGCCAAGAATTCGAAAGTTTTTCTCTTTGTTTTCTGTCACAAGCAGTATGTCAAATCCGTTCTATTTTCAATAAAAGAGATTCTTTCCTTTTTTTTTCTTATTAGAAAGAAGAGTATTGCACAGTTTACTAATTAACAAATTATGGCAATGCAAAATTCTGAGAAACAGAATTCAATTGTGATATTCGTACCAACAACTGAAAGAAGGGATAAGTTCAAAAATATTTTTTTCATTCCAGGGAAAAATCAGTTCAGTTTTTGTTCTCCCAACCTAACATCTCCTCACGTCATTAAAAGAGAAACCACTGCAAAAAAAAAAAAAAGCTCTCCGGCTACCTTCACTTATTCACAAGTCGCTTTACCGGTGCCATTACGGTCTGTTGTTGCCTTGTTGGGTACCTCGTGATAGGGGCATATTCACTTATTGTTAATAGAAACTTAATTTTAATTTAATGAACTGGATGCCCCTGTTTTTCTTGCCTCGTGAGTGGAAAATTGGCCGGGCAGAGAGTGTACTATTTTCAACAGTCAGAAAAAAAAGTATCCAGTCGATTTTTTTATTTAGGTAATGAAAACAACGCATTCAATTGATACCGACCATGTTGCATCGCCGTGAAATCGACTTGTGGTCAATGTAGAAACGAACTTGTATGATTGTATGAACATCATCCTAGACTGAAAATATTTTTTTAATTAATAAAAAAAGACACCTTCGGTGTGGCCGCAGAACAATGAGCACATCACTTTCATCAAAGTTGGTTGAAAGCTTGTACTCCGATTTATACACACGCATACTCCCTCCATCATAAAAAAAAAAGACAATATAGGAGGGGTCATACTTCATCTTCCAAAAAAAAAAAGTAACCTATAAGGGGTTACAACGAATCTGGATAACCCTCCGTCCAGATTCATTGTATTAGGAGGGGTCACGTGTTATCTTTTTTTAGACAGAGGGAGCACGTATTTCAGTACGAGTTTTTTTTTAATATAGAGGGAGTACGTATTTCAGTACGATGCTCGCTCACCTTTGAGGGAAGTGTTCTGTTCAGGCGGTCAGGAGGAGTGGGGCCAGAAATCAAGACTACGGTTAAGCTAGGGTTAAATTAATGTGTTAAATGGTTTTCTAAAAATTACGTGGTGATTTAAGAAAATTAAACATAACTGTGGAGAGAAGTCTAGAGCTCAGAGTCCTCAGACACAGACAAAAATTAGACATAATTGAACATCTGTATGGCCACTCAGACAAACAAGCCGTGGGCTGTGAGCTAGACCCCGCAGCCTCTCTCCATCAACCTATAAAAACAAGAAATAAGTTCACATTAGGCCTCTCATCTTGACGAGGAGTTTAAATTTCATCATCAAATTCCAATACTATATATAAAGTGTCCATCAATTTATTGTCAGCGGCGATCTCATGCTGGCTACCGTGCGGCCACCTGTACCACTCTAATTCCCTTCACCCGTCCCCCACCGGCTACCTCTGTCCCTTCCCCACCGTTGATGGGGAATAGAGGAGAGAGAGAGAGAGAGAGGGGATGTTGGAGGAAGAAGAAATGGGCCTGATATGTGGGGCCATATAAGTTTCCACTCGACACGTCAAGTAAAACCGAGTACTATATTACTTGGACCTCAAGTACACTGGTTTTAAAGTTAAGGGACGCGTTATATGGTTCGAGAACGAAAAATTAGAACCTGGCGTCAAAATGAGGGACCTTTAATAAACTTATTTCCTAAAAAGCAAACCGATATACTGAGCTATCCGGCACAATCAAAATGGGCCGCACGCTCGTGCCGGCCTACATGAGTTGGGTGTGCAGTAAGAATGGGCCGTAAGTAGCAGTACTAAAGTCGCAACGCGTTCTCTTCCTCCCCCCTCCGTCGTCCACCAACCTGCCTGCCTTTCTCTCTCTGACTTCTCTCCCCACATTCGCCAGCCGCCGCTTCCCTCGCCGCCGTACGACACCTCCTAGTAGGAGGGAGAGAGAGAGAGGCGGCGCACGAGATGGCGATGGTCCTGCGGCGCCTCGCGGGCGCGTCCGCCGGTGGCGCCCCGTCGCCGGCGGCGGCAGCGGCCGCGGCCGCGCTGCTGCTCCGCCCGGCGCTGGCTCGCCCGATCTCCACCGGCTTCCGCGAGGAGCGCGACACCTTCGGCCCCATCCGAGTCCCCAACGACAAGTGCGTGTGGTTTCGGTTTCTCTCTCCTCCCGCATGGATTGCTAGGAGGTGTTTCGATC